TTACCAATGTTTTGGGGAAGAAATGGTCTTGGAAAATCGCCTCTAGGGTTCTAGGATTTGAAAATTTGATGAATGAGAGAAAAATTTCGTCTAACTTAAGTTTTGATCAGTTGCAGGTGTCGCATTTGCAACCTGAGATTCGCAAATGCGAGCCCCACAAATGTGAAGAACCTATCGCCAATGCGAAAGTTTCACATTCGTGTTTTCATCGCATTTGAGACAAATAGTTCGCAAATACGAACTCTGATCCTTCCGCAAATGCGACCAATTGATCTCATTTGCGATCACTGTTGCCCAGCTCCCACTTTGCAATTGCGAAGATTGGTACGCAAATGCGAACACTGGCTCCCCGCAAATGCGACCTCCTGATCGCAAATGCGAACTAAGGCTGGCCCAGGTACACTTCACAAATGCGAAAAATTCGCTCGCGATTGCGAGCCTGCCGGCATGGGGAATGTGCGCAAATGCGAACACTGATCTCGCAAATGCTAGATCAGACACCAGTCACAAAAATTGCAGAACCAACAATGCGCTAAGTCTAATTTTCACTCTGTAGCTTATCCGAAACTCACACAAGCCCTCGGGGCTCTAAACTAAAAGTGCACACATGTCTAAAAATATCATACGAACTTGTTCATGCGATCAAATCGCCAGAATAACACCTAGAACTACGAATTGAACACCACATCGAATGAAATTTTCAAAAAAAGCTTTAAAACTTCTATTTTCACAACCGGACATCCGAATCACGTCAAACTAACTCCGTTTCTCACCAAATTTCACAGACAAGTCACAAATATTATAATGGACCTGTACCGGGCTCCGGAACCAAAATACTGACCCGGTATTAACAAGACCAAACATCAATCAATTCTTAAATAGTTTTTATGAATTGATTGTGTTTGGTCTTGTTAACACCGGGTCAGTATTTTGGTTCCGGAGCCCGGTACAAAATTCATATCTTGAGCTAGGGACCTCGGAATTCGATTTCGGGCATACGCCTAGGTCCCAAATTACGTTACGGAACCACCGGGACCGTTGAAACACGGGTCAGGGTCCGTTTGCTCAAAACACTGACCAAAGTCAACTCAATTTAATTTTTAAGGCAAAATTCTTATTTTTGTCAGTTTTTAACATATAAACCTTCCGGAAAAACACTCGGACCGCGCATACAAATCGAGGAAGGCTAAAATAAGATATTTAAGGCTTCGAAACACATAATTTAGTTCTAAAATATGAGATGACCTATCGGGTCATTACACCTATTTTCTTAAATAACTTGCTCTATAGGTTTTTAATTAACCTATAGTTTAAAATTACTACCATGTTGGAGCTCAATTAGGAATTAAGGACAAAAATGAGATTTTCTGCTACCGCTCTTTTTCATGTTTTACTCTCATGAAGGGGAGTCTTAGAGCAACGGTCAAGTTGTATTCTCGTGGCATGTAGGTTACGGGATCGAGCTTTGAAATTCGCAACTGATGCTTGTATCAGGGTAGGTTGTCTACATCACATCCCCTTAGGATGTGGCTCTTCTCGGGACCCTGCGTGAACCAGAAGCGAATTGACCCAGGATTTGAAGGTCAGGGGTGCACTTTTAGATTCAACCAAAATCTGCTTTGTATATAGGGTGTCCATTGCTATTATATCACTATTTTCTAAGGACATATACATGTATATATGAAGTTTTTGCCAAACTTTATGAGTGTCGGTGACCCCTTTCGGTATAGTATAGGTCCGCCAAATTTTGGTTGAATTTAAAAGTGCAACCTCGACCTTCAAATCTTATGTCCACCTTTGTCCGGCTCTAACGTGATCGCCAAATACTTTTTGCAGCGGGCTGATCACTCTCATAGGCGACTCTAGGACTATTTGGTTAGCTGGATAAGCTTGCAAACAGTTAGTCTTAAGAACAAAAAAGAAGTGCAAAGACTTGAAATAATCATATCTTCTTGGCTAAGATTTCCTGTGTTGGACAAAAAGGGAGGAAACAAAAGAAAAATTAGGGTGGAAATGTGTTAAATAAAAGATTCATCACATGGTTTCAATCAATGTTCTCTCCACTCCCAAAAAGCTTAACTAGTACCTCATATTCCTTCAATGTCTCTTTAACTTTTTGAGTTTATCCTGCCATTAATCTTGGGTGATTAATTAAACAAATGTGATTTAAGTAGTTTAATTTCTTAAGACGTAATTAATGGGGAGACATAAATTGTGTGTGCTTGATTTAATATGCATTTAATTAAAGTTTGCTTATCAATATGATGATGAGGAAAGGCAATATAGCGCCAAGTTAGGAAATCAACGTAGAGAGTAGTAGTGAACTTAGAAATAAATTCTTATTCTCTTCATTTTACCTATTCATAAATAGTTAAATACCAAGACCCTTTTAAGGTCTTATTTTATTTTCCTTGGTAGCAGCGAAAATTAGCAATATACTCATTCTTGCTTAATTTGGTGTTATATTATGTTATTGTTTTCTTTCCGTATTTCTTTGTCATAACTGTTATAATTATGATTTTCTTGAGCCAAGGGTCGTAAACATGTTCTTTACTTTCACAAGGTAAATATAAGATCTGCATGCATACATCTCTCCACGGACACCACTTGTACGTTTACACTGGATATGTTGTTGGTATCAAACAATCGATTTTCTAATTTTTTGGCATTGACCCAACATTGATGAGCATTACTTAGGCCTCGTTTGTCCATAAAAAAAATTCCTTTTTTAAAAAAAAAATAAAAAAATGTGATTGTGCATGAAATTTTGCAAGTTTTTAATTTTTTTTTTTTGAATGAATAAAATTGTAATTTTTGAAAAAAAAAAAAGTATTTGAAGTTAAGTCAAAAAATGGTGTTGAGAATTTGAGATTATGTTTGAACATGTAGTTCACTTGGAAAAATATTGCAGTTTCGTGTGGGAAGCATTCATTAATGATACTTTGCTAAGATTTGCATTTTGCAGCGCTTCAATTGTCCCTAGGCCGCTAGGCGTGTTTGGTTAGCTGGAAAAAGCTGTGAAAGGTGAGTATTTAAGAAAAACAAAAAGAAAAGCAAAGGTATGAAAATAATCACGTTTCCTCCGCTGTGATTACCTCTATTTTTTCTCTCCTTTAATATATTTAGTCAAAAGGAAGGAAAGAAAAGGAACAAAGGGGGAAAAAATAAGGCGTAAATTTCTTACATAACACATGGTTTCAATCAATGCATTCCCCAATTTCCAAACCTTTAGCTGCCTCACATTCCTTCCATGACTCTTTTCCTTCATTTTATGTGATCAATTTTTCTAGGAGCGTTTTTTGACCTCCTCGTCCAAGCTCGCTTATGGTACGTATGCACTGATTATGTTCCAAATCCAATTTCTTCTGGTATGCCGTTCCGCCAGCGAGGAGCGAAAGAACCAAGTTTTCTGTGGTGATATCAGAATTTGCACTTATTTGTATCTATTTAGTGATCGGTCTGCTAGTTTCTTTGCTCCCACTCAATCTTCCTTTTCTATTTTCTTACAATAGTTCGACCTATCTAGAAAAATTGTCGGCCTACGTATATGGTTTCTAAACCCTTAAGTGACTAATTACTTACATGCAAGCTCATGAACTGTTACAAATGTCGTGATCCTTGACTTTTAATCACAGGTCTTAAGTTTAAGACTTGGAAAATGAAACAAACGGTAATGGTGTACTCCTGATGAACTAAACTGACACGAATTTAAAATAGTCAAATTATGTAAATTTCAATACTTAATCAATAACAATAAACAAACTCAGTGTAATCTCACAAGTGGGGTCTAAGGAGAGTAGTGTGTACATCGCCTTATTCCTACCTTTATGTTATAAAGAGGATGTTTCTGATAGAACAAATGTCGCGCGGCAGTCAAGTTCCGCCCACTTGACTCATCCTACCCCAACACCTTCCCAGCAAACTTGGCCTTAGACGAATTTTGGCAGCAAATGTAAAGAGATACAAGAAAGAAACGTGAGGGTTTCTGAGTGTTTTAAAACGGGGCTAAGGCTGGGCATTGGGCAGGTCTTAGTGTGGCAAAAGAACGACTTGTGTTCTTTGTCAAAGTGGGATTGTGTTTTAATTGTGATCATAGTCAGATTCCTTGAGTATTTTGTAAATAATACAAAGGTTGGAATTTCCCCGTACAGGATTGTGTTCTCTTTACATCTGCTGCCAAATTCGTCTAAGGCCAAACTTGCTGAAAAATTGACAAGATGTTGGACAGGCTGAGTCAAGTGGGTAGAACTTGACTGCCGCGCGAGTGCAAAAGATTTTGCGGATGACCGAATTCGACCCCGTGACAACTGTTACCGAATTATTTAAATGAAAAGGACAAATAGGAATGGAAGTGTAGTTTGAATTGCTAATGCAAGATAGACACTGATTAGACTGTCCCTCATTAAGAATGACAGCGCAGCTACAAATAATTATGAATACACTTCCTTCACTAAATTCTGTATTTATTGCTCATTTCAAATCATTTTCTCAAATCTAATAAAATATGCATCAATAATATGGGCATCATGATAAATTATGCACTCCATTTATTATTTTTTAAGGGGCGTAAAAAATCAAAACGTCAAGTAAACGTGAAGGGAAAGAGTATAAATCAACTAAAGAGTAAAACTAAAGAGAGAGAGATCAAGAGAAGTCAAACCATAAATATTACTTCAATAACTAGTAGAGTAGTTATCATTATACCACTCCTAATATCATAAAGAAAAAAGTAAGTATGGTACCCCGGTAGACACGCAAACCGAGGGCATCTCACTGCATTAATATTCCTTGTTCATTCAAAGTCGAGATAATTTATGTTAATGCGAATATTAATAATTTGAGCAAGGTCAAGACAATTTATATCAATACAAGTATTAATGGTTGTTTTCACTACTAAAACGGGTGACCTATATTGTAGCATAATCAAATATACAACTAAATTTATATAACTTGATTGCAAAAAAGAATAGTAATTAAGACGAGAAAAAATTTACAAGATGAAAACTAAAACTCAAAATATTATTGAACAAATTGTATTATGAACAAAATACTACAAAAACTCCCAAAAAGAGCACAAAAATATATAAAACTGTATTTTTTTGTTTCTCTTGGCTACTAACAATCACTATAAGCTATAGAATCCAAAGGAGATGAACACAAATACTTTTTAAAAACAGAATTAATATCCAAATTACTATTCCCACGCCTAACAATAGGAAATTTTGATACTATAGACAAGGAATTAAAACCCGATTTCGAGTTCAACCCAGTGAGTGAACTCAGTTCATGAATTGACTCACCCGAGTTGATCAAATTCACATTCTTTAACATGAACTCATTTCCAACGAGTTGGTTAAATAACCCCGACTCGGACACGGAGTTCTTCTTCTTGTGTTGTATTGCGACTCGCGCAATTTCTGTTACCATAGCATTTGACAGTCTTCGTATTCCTCTAGCTCCACCAAATACAATCCCTGAGTCAACTAGTTTTTTCTCCGAGTTCTTTTTCTTATGCGCGATTGTTGTTAACATAACGGTTTCTGGACTCCGATTCTTGAGTTGACTCAGTGGGTCACCGAGTACGAGATATTCCTTTACATCCACTAGCATAATGTGCTTGTAATTTCTTCGAATTCTTCCTAATAACATTGGATAACAAGCCCACCTTCTTAAATTTAATGGAACATGGTCTAAAAATCCACTTAAGGAATTCTCAGGGTCGAGTTCATCCACATCAAAACTCACAATCGAGCCATAACTCAACCGAGTTGACTCAGTTCCATTATTCCTATTTTCCTCATTACTGCTCCGAATTTTGCGACCCCAAATGGGTTCTCCACTTGAATTCTCTTTCTTGCTTGAAATCACGAACTGGGTCGGGTCGAAAGTAGTCGAAGTATAAATGTCTTTTTCCTTACAGTAGCCATGAATGAGTTTCAAGAACGAGTTGTTCTCTTCAACAATGGCGTTGTCAAATGAACTCGATTTGTATCTAAATATCAACAGAATGTCTGATTTTGACGTGACACTTGATCTGTGTATAAGCTTGAGAAATGATTTCAGTTCATTAACCGTAACGGATTCAACGACATGAGCAATAATAATATCATTCATTGCTCTTGTTCCTCGTCTATATAAAGAACCCATACCTTGTAATGCATGTGGGAAAAATAATTTGCTAGGTTTTTTCCTAGGGTTTAAATATGAAGAACTTAGTTGTTTTCTTGAAGTGAAATGATGAGGTGAAGTGGGTTCGAAAGTGGAGAGAGTGAAGAGAAGAAAAGTAATGAAAATGAGAAGTGCGCAAATTGAAATGGTGGATTGAGCTTTTGAGAGAAGTTGAGTTGAATTTGAGCGTTTGAGAATTGCATTAATGGATTTGAATGAAGGAGAAGATGAAGAAGAAAAAGAGAAATTATTGGGTTTTTTGTTAAGAATTTTGTTGTTATTATCTTCTTCTTCTGGGAAGAAAATGAAGAGGAAGCCCATTGCCCAACTTTCACTACTATTGTTAGTGTTATTGGAGTGGGTATTGATGTTGTTGTTTTCTTTGGTTTTTGCTGTAAATCCCATACCCAAATTACTTTCTCTCTCACACATACACACACAAAAACTTTTTTCTCTCTCTAGATAGCTCTATATTCTTGTGATTGTAGTTGGGTTTCTCTCTCTCTAAGTAGCTTTCAATCTACCACCTCCATATATATGAAGTTATGAACTTTGTCTTGTCTCTTTCTTGGAGGTGTGACTAGGAAGATTTTACAATGATTAAGGGGCAAAAAGGGTATATATTAATTTTTCTAGGTTACCTTATTTTTCTAGCTTTCAAAAAGTGATGCTTCATTTGATCCGAGGGACTATCGGAAACAAGTTTTTTGTTTTTACAAGGTAGGAGTAAGGCTGCTTATACATTACCCTCCCCAGACCCCACTTGTAAGATTACACTGGATTTGTCGTTGTTGTTGCTATCTTATTTTTCTAGCTGTGATTATGCTTTCCTTGAACCGAGTGTCTATCTAAAACAATCTCTCTACTTTTACAAGATAGACATAATGTCTGCGTATACATAATCCTCCATATATCCTTCTTGTGAGATTACATTGGATATGTTGAAGTTGTTGTTACTGTTATTTTAATCTATACTTGGTCAAGTTTTTCCTTTTCTTTTAATCAAGTTTTTGTAGTTTTATGTTTTATTTTTCTTCTTATTAATAACGGTGTTTGAACAAACTTACACACACTTTAATTATTTTATTAGATATTTATTATCTTCGGCCATGAGTAACTCTGTCCATTAAAAACTTAGACAAATAAAAGGAAATAATCGGTGGAACTTTGTCTAGAGCAAGTTTTACAGCCTCCATTCCACTTTGAGAGACATAATTGAGTTTGATGGTTAATTTTTATCAGTTTAATTTGTGCCTGATTTGAACACAGTTTAGCAAAATTTAATGGAACAGTATATAGTAGGCACTATTTTGGGATAAATGGATTAATTATTTATAGTTTTTCCCAAGATGCAAGTAACTTTGACAGAACTCTAATTTCTAAATGAGGTAATTTTAAATGTTTCATTCACCAACAAATTATCTCTACATACTTTACAAGTGTAAAAAAAAGCAATAAATTAAATATGTTTTTAAAGAAATTATACTTGACTATTGAATTGATAATTAGACATGTTCTTATTTCAATTTTCATTGAAAAATCATTTAGTAATTGTACTTTTTAAATTTAATTATGCTTTGGTTTAAATTAGTAAAGGACAATGTATTAATATGGTATGAATGGCAGGAAAGTGGGGCTAGTGTGAAGCGTCGGTGGACAGGAGGGGTAGATTTTAACAAATGAGCAAAATGTGTGTATTAATGTAAATGAGTCCTAAAATGGAGGGGCCATCCTACAGTTTACGGACAAACTCAAAATAGTATTTTTGTTTCGATTGCTATAAATTATGCTGTTTCTAATTCTGCTGCTTTAAAATTTTCTTGCTATAATATCTGTATAAACAAGTCAATATTACAGAAAAAAAAAAAAAGCAGTTCGGTGCACTAATTAAGTTCCTGCTATGTGCGGGGAAGGGTCGGACCACAAGGTTCTATCGTACGCAGTCTTACCAAGCAGTTCTGCAAGTCCACAACTCGAACCCGTAACCTCCTAGTCACATGGTAACAACTTTACCAGTTAGGCAGTTACGCCAATGCTCCCCTAATTAAATTATTATAGAAGAAAGAATTAATAAGTTATCACTATCAAGACAGGCAACAATGTAATTGTAAATGAAATACTTAAAATGCGTTTGAAAAGTAGTATGGAAAATGGGACAAGTAATTGCAATCAAGTCTGTCTGATTTATAGCCTGTTTAGCAAAGTTTCAAAAATTAGTTTATTTTAAAAAGTGATTTTCTTAAAAATACTTTTCAAAAAATATTTTTGGTGAAAAATTTTTTGTGTTTAACAAATTAATTCAAAAAATACTTTTGAGCAGCAATTAGTGTTTGGTCAAACTTTTAAAAAAGTATTTCTAAGTGTATTTTTCTCAAAAGTGTTCAAACAAATAACTTGGGAAGAAGCTATTTTTTTCTACTTCTCAAAAATTGCTTCCGCTTCTACTCAAAGCACTTTTTTTTTCTTCTAAAAGCTTGGCCAAACATTTCAAGTTTAAAAAAAAGGCATGTTTGACCCAAAAATATTTGCGAAAGTTAAGGTTACAAAAACAATACTTATTGTTATTTTTAATATTCCAAGGAAATTGATTGATTTAAGAAACATTAGCTAGTTTAAACTTCTTTAATTTTTCTTTTCTTTGAAGATGGAGGAGTATATTTCTTTTCTTAAAGTATTTTTCTACCAAACATAAAAAGACAATGAAGGAGAAAAATATTTTTAAGAAATCAATCTTGTTAGTAATGTGTGAGAGTCAACCTGAACCTCCATTATGGTCTTGTCCCAATAAAGCTCTTTGTTTTTTATATGTCAAAAATGTGAATGAATGGTGATGATTTCATAGAACTTTCCATGAAAAATGTGCTAGTTTAATAGGGGCGCAATTATAATATTATTTATAGATTCACGTAAATTTAGTAATTTTTACTTAAATTTCTTATATGAATTAACAAATTCACTAAATATTTATAAATATTTAATTGTAAACTTAATCATTAATATTATAGATTAATTTAAGAATTGCAAAACTTATAAATTTTAAATCATGAATCCGTCTAAGTAGTTTAATAGAGTACTTAGTAATTGCTAGTTACTACTAGGAAAGTAGCAGCTACCAGTGGCTGAGCCAGTATTTTCATTAAAAGAAATCAAAATATAAAAATATAAAAATATAAACTCACCAGAAGTCAAGGGTGTCATTATATAGTATATACACATATTTTAAAAAAAAAAATATTGAGCTATACTGTGTAATTTTTCCGTGAAGTGGTGTCGGTTGACACCTCTTTTGTGCATGTGGCTCCGCCACTAGCAGCTACAGTCTGCAACTACTTGGTAAGTTTGCACTGCACAATGCACATAATATGAGGTCCTTTGTCTGGTTCTTGGAACTAGACTAACCTCAACAATATGGACATGCATATCATCTTTTTCTTTTGTTGATTTAGGTTTTTGGTATAAGAAATTTGTTGGTCGATCCCAAAGGTTGTAGTGAGATTGAGATTTTAAGTTCGAGCACAAAGAATGAAAAGAATTTTAATATGAAGTAATTTTTACTTTAATTTAATGAACCTTATGTAATGCGAATTCCAATAAGTGATATGTTGCAAAGATCCTACATTGCCAACTTCAACTTATGACAATGTGCCGGTTGGTGGGGGTATAATATTGTCCCTCCTATATGTCTACACACTTCTGATTAATGGATGAATTTACAGGTTAAATTTTTCTTTTTTATTTTAACCACTTAAATATTCGATATTTAATACCTTGATTAATCCGATCTTGTTGCGTATTTTTCATTTACTCTTAATCATATGTCTCGGATTTGAGACCAAAAAATAGAGTTCTCCTCGCTAGGAGGAGCCAACCTCATTACCGCACAATAATGTACTTTCTATGTGTGAATACGGATTAACTGATCTAGTGGTTTTGAACACCAGATATTAAAAGAGTTTGTTTGGCTCAAAAGTTAACGATATACTTTGTAAGCGATAAAACAATCAAAAATAGAAAAGGGGTAAATCGTAATCAAATATAATAAGCCTAGAGATGCAAAGATGATAATATTGTTGTAGATCTGATATTGCAAAGTGATAATGTTTACCAATAAGATATTTTCGTTAGAGGTAGAGATATAGAGAGAGAAAGCCAGAAAAATAAGAGAGTTGTATTAGATCAGATCCCCCTTTTACAATGTGGAGGTCTCCTTTATATAATAGGAGACCTTCCTCGAAAGAATCAAAAAGTTATAAAAATAGGTAACGTCTCCCTATCGTGGACGCTGAGTTCTAAACGATGTCGCTTTTGTTCTCACGGCCGAGTCGTACCCGCTACGTTGGTCGGCGTACACTCGTTGGGCGTACCCACTGGCGTAAAGATACTGAGGGTCAAATTTGACCCTATACAGTTAGTCCCTCCGCTCGTTGGAGACGCGTTCGGTGGGCGTCTTCGACGGGCGGAAATACGAACCTCGGCTTAGGAGAATTTGACCTCGACCAGGGGCGGCAATATGAATGAAGTGAAACATATGACGTTGTTGAGCCGCTGACGCGTGGCTTCCTTTTTGGAATGATTGATGTCATCGCCTGTATGCATCATCATTATATTTGCCCCCGAGGCGGTTCAGAGGATGAAGTGACGTTTTGGTTTCCGGCGCACGTTTTGAATCATGACTCTTCGATTCCTGTGCAACTTATCCTTATAAGTATGAGAGAGGTTTGATCTGATTCCACTTTCAAGCCGCTGAAAAGTATTTTCTGATACACTCCTTTGCCTTCCTTTCTTGTAACCGTTATTTCGTGAGGGACTCTCCCACTTCTGTTGAAACCACACTTCCTATCGTCAGTGCTTCGTTTCTCAAGTAGCATAATCATGACAAAACGCGGACAGAATAATAAAAAGGCCAAAGATAATGCCCCGTCTAGGGTTCCGCCATCTTCCGGTGGTGAAGGGAAAAAGGCGGAGAAGGCCCTTGTTCCTCTCAGCGTAGACAATGTCCTTCCGAAGGAGACGCACGTTCGCAGGGATTTTCCAACTAAAAGCCCTGATCTTCCCTGGGAGCACAGCGTTTTACTACAATCCCATTTAGATGATCTGCGAGAGACGCACCATATTCCGGACCACGTGGAAATGGTTCCGGCCGGGACGGATTATGCCAATGTGCACCGGCCTGGATATTGCACCTTCTATGAGTACCCATTCTTGATCGTTTACGCCCTTCCAGTCTACCCTCTGGTGGAGGAGCTTTGCCGCTTTTACAATGTGTGTCCGGCCCAGCTCACNGGGACAGGTGAGTGAATTGAATGCGAAATGGTCCTTATTGTACTGCCTATGGCAACAATTCAACGGAGCCTGATAAGGGAATAGGGCAGCTCACTTGTATTCTTAGGTACGCTAACCATTTATGGGGTTCAATTACTACCTTGTACTTGATATTTTAATGGTTAATTTCAAAATCACCCCTAATATTTTGGGGGTCTAGACATATTACACCATCTGAAATTGACGTGTCAATTTTGGGTGTCGT